TAGACCCAAGGCAGAGCGGGACCAGTGAGTTCCGTTACCGACCGATGTTCATCAACGAGTGTCAATATCTGCCGATCTAAACGGGCAAGAGAAAGAGCCCGTGGCGCAGTTGCAAGAGTGTTGGACTTCTAACTGACAACGTTTGAGCCTCGGGTGACGCTCCACTTTGGGTTGGATAGGCCCGGTTGACGACCGTTAATAAGTCCGGAATGGCCATTCCAGTCTCCCTAGTCTTTGCCGGCAATAATATCTGGCGAGATCGACATGTAGATGTCATTGCACTGGGGGAGGGGGGCAAGTAGGATGGTTTGTGAGTGAAAATCACTGTCATGTGCACGGAGTGAACAACTGTCACCAGGGGAGCGGGGATGACATGCGATTTGTTGTTTTTTAGTAAAAGAAGTGAGCTTTCAATTCGAATAAGCCATTAGTTGGAGTTTTGGAGAGTTAAAATGGCAGAACTGATTAAAGAGGCCCCAAAAATCCCGTCGACTCATAATAAAAAAACCTCTTGCATGTTCAATAGCCTGACTTTGCATTCTTTCGTTAAATTCCACCAAAAGGAGGACGAATTTCCATTTTCGTTAAATTTCGCCTACATAAGGTCAAATGCCCCTTAACTGGCATTCGTAACCTGCGTAACAGAAGTTCATGTTGATCGAATTTTATTCTATTTTAGCACATTAAAACAGACATAATGTTATTTAATTTAATATTTTTTGATCACTTCCGCCACAATTACACATTAATTTAAGCTCACTAGCCTAGAATTAAATTGTTTAACCACAAAATACGTTAAGCAGTAGGGCGGAGGGGATTGATATCTAGAGGGGCCCTAGAAATCAGTTTTGCCGTTAAGATAAAGAAAATTAATTGACTCCAACACGGTTCCTAAAGATACCAATAGCACATGCGTTTGACTATTCCATATTTGTTTGAGATTGATAATCAAAAAGCCGACTCCGATGGTCTGCCTTTACTCCCTTTTATTCTGTTTTACGAATATTGGGTAAGGGTTCTTTATAAAACTCACCGTACCGTCGTTTACTATGCATAACTAACTACTTATTTTGTTTTAGCGATATAAATTAGAGCAATATTGAGCAATATTGAAGAGAAATGATCTATGCAGTTAGCCGGATTTACTTTGGAAAAAGAAAAGGTCATATTTTTGAGCTGAATAAAAGTGGAATTCCAAGGTGGTATTTAAGGATTGGTCTACTCTTTATGAATAACTTGAAGTGGTACTTTCTACGTTCACTTTCCGAGGGGACTTTTTTTTACTATGCTCGGTGATGAGCCGTAGTGATTCACGTTCGCTAAATTAGGTACTTTCAGATATATTCGCAAAACAGTCTAAATCTCAGGCACTTATTTCCATATTTTGCTAACGTGCCTGGCGCGCGTGCGAGGATTAAAATCAGCAATTGTTCAGCTCACAACCAGAGACTTCTATAAGATTAGATTGAAATTTCGGTAAAATTTAAGTTGGTCGCCCATCTTAGATACCCCTAGCACCCAGTCCCGATCTAACTTTTAGTTTTATTAGTTTAACTTAGGTTGTACTTCAATAACTACGCCATACTAAACTAATGGAAGTAAACTAAACTTAAAAAACAAACTAAGCTAAAAAAATAAACAGTACTAAAACTAAACTTAAGCTAACAAACTAAAACAAACTAATGCCAGCGGTCCTGTAAGACAGAATTCTGCGGCTAGAGGTATCTACGTTGAATGACTAACTTAACTTTCACCGAAAGTTTTATCCACAGGGCTTTTCAGAGAGAGAGAGAGAGAGACCGCTCAAAGAACACTACTAATCATACCTTTGCATTTTAAATTCTGAACTGCTGTCGTTTTGTGGTCCTTCAGTCGGTTTCTGACTGTTTTTGGCAGTTAGCGGAACAACTTCTCTAGCATTCGCATTGCGCACTCCATTGGGTGAGAGGTAACGCTCATCGTTGGTATCAAGAAAGCCCGGAGAGGGCATCTCCTCGGCAGTGTTGTCGGCCTTCTTGGAAGGCCTCATGTCCGGTGGGAGCAGAAGACGCTCCATATTTCTGTCAAGGGTGACCACCAGGCTGGAAGTATTTCCGAAGGGCGTTGCGCTGATGACCCTGGCCTTGACAGCTTATAGGAAGAACAAAATAAATTTTACTGAACGTTACTAGTAGCCACTTTAATTCAATTGTTTTTTCTCTTTGGGCATAAATATAGAGACAAGTTAACTTACGTATTAACCTTCACGGGCGCATTCAATAGACTACACCTAATTCAGAGTGCCAGAATTACATTGCCGCACAACATTCTAAGCATTTTCCTTCTCGGTATATGAACCACTCGTATTCTGCACTCCGTTCAAAATTTGGGTGTCCTTAGGACGAATGGTTTACTAACAAAAGTCGGCTCCGAAAATGCGTTTCGCTCGAATTTTAGTTGATTCTGCGACTCTTGTATTAAATTATTCCGTCATTTTTCGTCAGGGGATCCTCATTCGTCTTCTGCTACCTCCATTTTCTCTTCTGGGGCGCAAGAAACCTCTTTTCTCGCCTTTTGTGACTGACACTTTTGACATGACTATGGGGCGTTTGCCGATACGTACATAGACGGCTCATCTCCGAAACCAATTTAAGTTGCATTGCCGTAGCTCCAGAGGAGATTATAAATGCTCCTGACACCCTAACAGGATGTTGTAAAAGGATTCAAACTCACGGAATACTCGACTCTACTGGGAAGATGCAGAATTTACTGACTCATGCAAGTGGCTATATTGGACTAATTGAGTTCTTTGACGACTAATATGACTAGAACAATGAAGTCAGATCCGAAAGAAGCTCATAGCGTGCTGGTTGGGAATCTAACAGATGTATAGCATGCAAGTGGCAGGGACGAAGGCATACTCAGTTTCATTTAGACTTGGAAGAGGGACAGTGAATATGCCCTCTCGTGAAATTTTAACCGGAATCCTGAAATTATTTTTAATGATAGAAGATTAATTTATTAGGACTGTAATAATAATTGCCTTTCAGCATAATCCCAAATATATTCAGTCACGTCAGGGTGCCGGCCTTTCAAAAAGCTTCTTTCTGGCTGCATGTATGAAGTATAATCAATTGGTGTGCGTTTTTTTTCCTACAGAGTATATTTTACACAGGAACTGACATATCCTGATATTAGGCTGCATGGTAGTCAATACGACAAAGCTACTTAATTAGTCGCTGCTAACCGAAAAGACATTTCAGATTGTTGGTTAACACACCTACTATGAGGAGGGAGGGGGGGGAGTAAAAAAATTGCGGGGCAAGGATTAATCGTAAGGCCGCCCAATGCAAAAGTCCCCCCAGGCTAAGTTTCTTACTGGATGCTTGGCTAAAGACGAACGAAATGGTTGCGCACATTACCAGACGTATTGGTGCTTAATAACTATGTAATAAGAAAGAATTTAACACCGTTTGTAATAGTTTTACTGAACTAAGACATTAGATAGAAAAGATTGCTTAAAAGACGAAAAAGACTGAAAATGAAGATTATCGGCCAGGCAAACTTATTACAACAACATCTATTCGTTAGCATACTCCAATAAGTGAATTTAGGTGTTTCAACCGATCTATTCAAGGAACAATTAAGTTCCGCTTTACCAAGGAGCTCGCTACGCAAACCCTCAAGACCGTCACATAGTGACAAAGGTGATATGATGAAGAAGTGGATCCGACAATAAGTGTTTAACTAGGCGTAAATTCAACCTACTGAAAATTTGCAAGTAGTTGTTTTTAATAGTACATAGGTGTACACCGATCTGGTCCAGGATACACCAACCTTTATTTGGGCGGCCTTATGATAAATCCTACCAACTGTGATGAACCTTGGTGAAATTTCCTCTTTCGTGAATTTACATAGTATGTTAATCGAAACATAACTGTCCTGTGACACCCAACAGGTTGATGTTCGTCCCCAGTAATGCGAACCGTCTGCTTATATACGCTGGTTAAATCAGAATAAAAATTAAAATCCGCCATAATGCTATTTAAAATCTGTCGAAAGATATTTCAGGAAGACGAATCAAATTATGAAAAAACTGAATACTTTCGCGCCATTTAATGATCCGAACCAACACTTGGCACAGCGATATAGGAGTTGGAGTGGACCTACCACCGCCTGATGACGCCCAAAATGGCAGAAAAGCTTCGCGGCTTGTGGTCTCCGTTTGTCGGTAAAATACCATTTTTACTAATAGTTAGCGAGTAACATATACAATTGGGGTTCCAATTAGCTCGCA